CCCAAGTATGTGTTGCATTTGCACATCAAGTCAGTAGGAAATTTATGTAAAATGCAGCACTTTTCTTTATCTGAAGAGACTTTTTAGATTCTTTTTAACCGTCATTGCAGGGGTTGTAAACAATCAGTTTTCTTGTGCTCAAGATGTGAAGGTGTGGCCTTATGAAATATCCCTTCGGATTTGTATGACAGATTATTGCATGTCACATAGATATGGTGCATGAGATTGACATTTCAGAAAAGGGTAAATTATTGAATTTCAGTTATTTTCTTTAAATTAGAGAAATATTTAATTTCTGTTCTGACATTCTCATGCTTATGGGTCCTAGGCGTAGGCCTGACTTTGGTGATACCAAATCCACAAAATAAACCGGTAACTTTATAAATGGGTCAGTATTAAATATTTTCGGCATGGATTTGTGGCTTTTTGTGTTCATGAATCAGCGTTTCTGGTAAAAGGAAGGATTTCTGGTTTGCTTTTATTGGTTGCTGTCCAATTTTCAACGACAAAATTTATGTAGTTAGAATTAGGGGGCAGAATTGGGTCTCACAAAACAAACCGACGTTGATATTTTTCCTGCGCTAGTTCTCCACCCTATGTTGTATACAAAAATGGGGAGCACTAAGTATTAACGTTTCGTGATATTATGAAGGGTATTGCTAGCTGGAGCAACACTTGGCCTCTAATTGTGGAGTGCCAATTTCTTCTTTTCTTTTAACTCTTTTTCAAAGAACAATCCGCACTCAGCCAATCAAAGGTCGACGCGGACCGCTGATGGACTCAGGCAGTTTGCTAAGTGCAACTAGCACTGCTCTTTTAAGAATATCTAGCCCCTTAGGGAAGTTCAGTGATAAGAACGTAAGCTTTTATAGTAAAGATATCTCGTTCAAATTTTAAGGTCGGTAAGAACAAGTTTGAAGAGAATATTATCTCTTATCTTATATAATTTATGATTAAATATATAAAAATTTTATAATTATTATAGAATGGAGAAGAGGGAGATTGGATAGAGAGAGAGATGAGGAGGAGGTGCTGTAGGAGTTGTTGAGCAGAGTACAAATTCGGGAAGGCCTCGAGGATCGCTGGAAGTGGTTGTATGATTCTGAAGGGAGGTAAGTGGTAAAGGGGGCTTATGAGGTTTTGTCTCCTACGGAATGTATTATTGCTGACCATTTTTGTAAGATGGTTTGGTGTAAATTAAGACCTTCGAAAGTCAGTTTTTTTAGGTAGAGATTATGTTTGGACATACTTCCAACAAAGGGGAATTTAAAAAAGAGAGGGGTAGTCTTGCAGGAGGAGGGGATTTTGTATGTTTTGTGTAATAAGGAGGAAGAAATGTCCAACCATTTATTTTGTACATGTAATTAAGGACGCTTGATTAATTTGGGTTAAGGTGTTGTCTTGATGGGGTTTTGAGATAGTAATGCCAAATACAGTGGAGGGGGTCATGGAATTCTTCTTGTATGAGTTGGGTAATGTTGTAGGGAGAGAGTTGGGAGCATGTTTTTTTCTTGTTGGTTTATGGTATATTTGGTTTTGGAGGAATATTAGAGTTTTCAAAACAAAGGGAGTGGTGGGGAAGGTTGTTGGAGATGATTCAATTTAAGACATTTTTTTTGATTAAAAATAAGATAGATGGATGTGTGTTCTCTATTTTTTATTGAAAAGTTAATCCAATTGAATGTACTTTAGCTATAACAAAGCATAAAAGGTTGCAGAAGGAATTTCGTAAGCTGAATATTGGGAAGCAAGTTTAGCAAAGTGGATGGGATGTTTTTGATTCTCATGTTTCTAGACATGTGGTAATTTCCCAGTAGGTTACTGGTTTTTTTGACTAGTTTTTACTACAATCTTGTACTTGGGTTGGAGTACAAATTTATTCATTTTGTTGATAAAAAAATAATAATAATTTTATAATTATTTAAGTAGGAGGTTTTTGAATAAATATAAATTTTAAGAAATAAAAAGATTTAAACCAAAATTATAGTGTTAAAAATATACTTTAAAATTAATTATTAATCAATTCAATAACTATTTAATAGAGTAACTCAACGGTTAAAAGTTTAAAACTTAAAAATAAAAATAAATTTAAAATTTCAAAGTAAAAATTTTAAATTCGAGTTTTGAATTAGATAAAGAAAGATTCATAAATAAAAAAAATTATATATTTTTATATAATTTATAATTAGATGTGAAAAAAAAAAAAAAGAAAATCAATCCGCTAAAGGGCACGTGCATTTAAGCAGGATATTGAATCCTCCGATCATTTAAGGACAGAGTTGACTTTAATGTGGGGGAATAGAAGTGAGATGAAGGCAAACGGAGACGTACAGGAGAGGAAAAGAAATACGGGGTGTAAGTAAATAAAAGCATTTTAGTCCTGGGTATCAGTTAGAGGTGCAATAATTGCACTATTCCTTCACATTTTTTTGTTAGCTGTTTTTATTTGACTTTTAATTTTTAAATATTAATTTTAAATAAA